ACGTCGATTTACACTTCGCACTATAAGTAGGTTGGTTATGAGTGACAAATATTATAGTAGTCATGCTTCATCAATAATAACACTTGAAACATTACAACAGATGCTCGATGAGTGGTTTATTCTTGGTGGGGTGATTAATATTGGGGATTGGGTACCTTGGCTTAGTTGGTTCGACTTGCAAGGATACGTAAAGCGAATGAAGGCGTTAGGAAAGAATATGACGGAATTTTACAAATATGTAATTGAAGATCACAAGGCAATAAAGAGGCAAATAGAGAAGGAATGTGTTCCTAAGGACATGGTTGATTCTTTGTTGCACCTTGCTGATGACCCTAATCTTGAAGTTAAGCTTACTTCCGATAGTCTGATGGGATTAATACATGTAAGTTTACTTAATTTCTCTACAACTTTTCATGACAATAGATATATAGATAGATTGATTATTTTCTTAAATTTGCTACCTTTGTCCTTAAAATAACAGATCATAGTTTAAGGGCATTGTATGCCTTTTTCCATTAAAATAAGTCGGAGTAATATATAAATATGCCATTTAACTTGCTTCAACTGATATCTATGCCTCCTAACTTTGAGTGTGCACAAGTAAACACTTAAACTTGTATAAAATTGAACAAAACTAGGCATATTCATCCTACATGACAATTTTGTGTCCTATGTGGCGTCCTACATGTATTATGCCACGTAAGATGCGCAATGGCAGATCCAGGATTTAGAGTCCGTGGGTGCCAAATAGACTTATCGATTAAATTAATTTTATATTTGATTAAATTATTCGTCTTTTCGATATATATCATAAATCAATCAATAAAATATAAATAATAAGATATTACACTTTTATTGAGTATTTAATCAAATAAAAGAAAAGTCAAAGGAGTAATAATGTAATTAAAGTCAATAGCAATTACAAAAAAAAATAAAAAAAATTGTGCGAGCTGTTTTTCCTTAAAAGCAACAAATTTCTCAAAACAATAGGTACAAATAGGATTCGAACTCGCAACATCAGCCTTCTAAAGTTTCCCTCCTACCGTGGCACCACAAGCCAATTTTGTTCTCTGGGTGACACACTTTATATTTATATAAATATTATATATATATACCTATGTATATATAGAGTTTCCGTCGAAGTTCGAGGGTGGCGTGACACCCCACACCTCTTCATAGATCCGCCCTTGAATTGCGTGTTTCTACTATATATATTATTAATTATATCAATGAGAGGACAAACTTATATTCTCTCAAGTACTCCCATCAACACAAATTTGTAGTTGATACTTGATTTTTTTCAATACCAATATATACCAGGATTTGATAGCTGGTGGAACAGATACTTCAGCAGCAACAATAGAATGGGCATTTCAAGAACTTTTGAGGAGACCAAACATCATCGACAAGGCACACCACGAACTTGACAGAGCCATTGGAAGAGAAGGATGGGTAGAAGAAGAAGACTTCTCTAAGCTACCTTATATAGATGCCATAATCAAAGAGACATTAAGACTTCACCCTTTAGGTGCATTGCTTCCTCCTCGTTACTCCATTGAGGATTGTAATGTTGCTGGTTATGACATACCAAAAGGGACAACTGTTTTTGTAAACGCATGGTCTTTAGGAAGAAATCCAAAGTATTGGGATAGGGCAGAAGATTTCATTCCTGAAAGATTCATAGAAAATAACATAGACATAAAAGGACAAAATTTCGCATTGTTGCCATTTGGTTCAGGAAGGAGAAAGTGCCCGGGGTATAGCCTAGGTATGAAGGTTGTTCGAACAACAATGGCTAACTTGTTGCATGGATTCAATTGGAAATTAGCAGGAGATATGAAGGCAGAAGATATAAGCATGGAGGAGATTTATGGATTGACTACACACCCAAATAAGCCTATATCTGTGATTATCGAACCTAGACTTCCCTTCCATCTTTATTAGAACTAGCTATAGTACTTTGTTTTGGTCTTGTCAATATAAGTTTTATGCTAGCATTAAGTTAAAATAAAAAACTGCTGCATGTATAATATAATCTCTTTTTGAAAGCAAGACAAGAAAATAATAGAAAAAAGGAAAAATATTTATTTTATTTTCTTAAAAAAGTAATAGTAGTTGTTTTAAATGCTGGCTAATAACGTGACAAGTTTCATTTTTAAAAATAATTAAGTACTATCTTAGAATGCGGATCAATTAAAATTGACTCACAGGCCCATTCCTTTTTTAATTTCGAAAAAAATTAGAAACTCAAGAGCGTCCATATCAGTCCATTTTAAGAGGACTCTTTAATCAGTTGGTTGTAACTTGATTTAACCAAAGTTATACTCTGGTGCTTGTCAAGGCGAGTTGATTGCCACAGTGGTACTCACTCAGTTTGTGGTTATTGACCATCATGAATAATTTTATTTTATCTTTCAAACTTATCTTACTATCTTACTCAATTTAATGATAAACTGAATTTTGTATTCTCGAAGAAGTGACAAGTAATCTGATTTAAGAAAATAGTCACAAAAAAAAAAAGTTATACAAAGTTAGAACATGGCATAAAATCAAGAACACGACACCCTAAATTAACTGTCACTATCCGAGCCTATCCTGGACGTGGCCGGCACTTGAGAACCATTGCTGGTCCCCAAGCAAACTCTCATATTGGCTGATTACAAGCGAAAAACTTACTCAAGCAAAAATGGGAACTCCAAATGTCAAAATATAAACTTTAAAAACTCAATTTGAACTTGACTCCAATAAATGTCTGAAAGTAATTAACAAGTCATTGTAAACTGCCTCATGACCTCAAAAGAAATAATGAGAGACTCCTTGACTTTTAAACTATCTATGAAGCCTCTAAGTATTACGATAGATGTCGGGACAAGACCCACGACAACTGAACCAAAAGCTGGAAATAAGTGTGAAGCTCTCCGGAAAGCAAGGAGGCTCACCAAAACTAGCTGGAGTGCAAATGGTATCAACGAAGCGCCTGTTGATGAACCTGAAGACCTGTATCTGCATCATAAAAAGATGCAGGTCGAATGATGTCAGTACATTTGAAGTGAGTAACTGTTAAGCTCAAGATCCTCAAGAATGAGGTGAAGTATGAGAAACATACAGGAGGAAGAGAGAAAGATGAAAATATCTCATTGAACTAAAGAGTATAGAGAGAAGAAAAGTTAGTAGCCGTTTGGAGTACATTGAAGATATTTATAGTTAACTAATCTAACTACCTAATTACATGGGCCATCTTAGTTTATTGGGCCTACAGTTTACATTGGGCCTTATGCTTTCATTCTATCTAAAAGCCCCCCTCAAGCTAGGAGTGGTAAACAGATTAAACATTCCTAGCTTGGTCATGAGAACTTCATGTTGTAGTCTACTTAATCCTTTTGTAAGAATATCCGCTGGTTGATCTTTGGTTGATATATACTCTGTTCTGGCTAGCCCTTTCTGAAATTTTTTCTCTTATGAAATGACAATCAATGTCAATATGTTTGGTTCTTTCATGGAACACTGGATTGGCAGCAATTTGAATCGCTGACTTGCTATCACTGTAAATGCATACTGGTAGTTGTAGTTGTACTCCAAGATCCTTCATTAATCCCGTTAACCAAGTTAGTTCAGACACTGTAGTTGCCATGCTTCTGTATTCAGCCTCTGTTGAGCTTCTTGAAATTGTATTTTGCTTCTTTGACTTCCATGAGATGAGTGAATCACCTAGTTTTTATAATGAATCCTGTAACTGATCTTCTTGTGAAGGAGCACAACGCCCAGTCAACATCACAAAATGCTGAAATTGTGTCTTTCTTGTTACTAGACATGAGAATTCCTAGGCCAGGTTGTTGTTTGATATACCTGACTATTCTGAGAGCTGCTTCCATGTGTGATCTTTTTGGTTGCTGTAGAAACTGGCTAAGTGCTTGCACACTATATGCTATGTCAGGTCTTGTTACAGTTAAATACAACAATTTTCCAATTAATCTCTGATAACTTGCCTGATCCTCTATCACCTCATCTAGTGCTTCAGTACTTGATTCTTCTGTCTTCTTCTTCAAGTGTTGATCATATTCTTTAGTCGTCAGTTTGGTGTTATTGTCCATATGTGTATTGGCTGGCCTTGCACCACTGAGTCCCGTTTCTGAGATCAATTCCAATGCATACTTTCTTTGATGCATTACTATTCCTGATTCAGCTCTTGCGAACTCTATTCCTAAAAAGTACTTTAGTTCACCCAAATCCTTCATTTTGAAAGCTGAATGTAAAGCCAATTTTGTTTCTTTGATCAGTTGTAAGTTGTTTCCGGTGATAAGCATATCATCTACATAAACCAACACAGCTGTGAATCCCTTTTCTGTCTTCTTGGTATATAAAGAATGGTCATATTGGCTCTGCACAAAGTTGAACCTCAGTAGTGCTTCTGCTAACTTTGCATTCCACTGTCGTGGTGCTTGTTTCAATCCATATAAGGATTTCTTAAGTCTGCATACTTGTCTCAATCCCCCCCTGACTTTGAAATCCTTGTGGCAAGTCCATGTATATTTCATCATGTAGGTCACCTTGAAGGAAGGCATTGTATACATCCATTTGATGTATGTGCCATTTTCTAGCGGCAACAATAACCAATATGGATCTGACCATTACCATTTTTACTACTGGACTGAATGTCTCTTGATAATCTATTCCTTCTTGTTGACTGTAGCCTTTTGCTACAAGTCTGGCCTTGTATCTTTCTATCTCCCCATTAGCTTTGTACTTGATTTTGTAAACCCATTTGCAGCCAATTGAGGTCTTGCCATGTGGTAATGGTACTATGTCCCATGTGTTGTTTTGTTGTAATGCATCTACTTCAACTTTCATGGCTTCAACCCATTGCTTGTCTTTAATAGCTTCTGCATACGTAGAGGGTTCAGTAACACTAGACATAGCAGATATGAATGCAACATACTTAGGATGAACATGATCATAAGATATATAATTTGATAGTGCATGAGGTGCATTATTATCAATAGTTAGAGAGACAACTCCTTCATCCAACATGGTGGATGAATCCCTCTGGTTGACTTCCTTGTTGGCTGAGCTGCAGATTTTTGTTGTAGTTGAGATATCGGTTGACTCACAGATTCAGCTATAGGCTGCACCATATGTGGTACTGCTGCAACATCAGTAGGTCTTGAAGTATCATTGTTTGAACTTGTGAGCTGTTGCAAACTTGTAGAATGATTAATAGTAATAGGCAATAGAGGATCATTATCATGATAAAGTTCAGGTTGAGGAAATAGAGTATGCAAACCTGAAGTAGCATTTGCAAAAGGAAAGATATTTTCTTTAAATTTCACATCCCTGCTGACAAAAAAACATTTTGTGGATATATCATATAAGATATAGCCTTTTTGAGTCTCGGAATACCCCATGTGTACAGCCTGTTTAGATTGAGATTGTAGCTTGTCTGTTTCATTTAAAACTTTAGCAAAACACAAACAACCTAGAATTCTTGGGTGCATAAGTGATGGTTTCCTGTTGTGTAACTTTTCAAAATGAGAATAATCATTTATAACATGTGAAGGCAACCTGTTTATGATGTAAACAGCTGCTTTTACACATTGTCCCCAAAATATGATGGGAACATGGGCTTGAAACCTTATTGCCCTAGTCACCTCAAGGATATGTCTTTGCTTTCTCTCAACAACTCCATTTTGTTGAGGTGTATAGGGGCAAGATTTTTGATGAATTATACCTAAGTTAGTAAATAAATCATGACATATAGAATTTACAAATTTTGTTCCGTTATCTGTTCTAACAGTCTTAACAGTTGCATCATATTGAGTTTTAACATGCATCAAGAAGTTCTTAATATGCAAGAAAACATCAGATTTTTGCTTTAATAGGAATATCCAGGTAAACCTTGAGAAATCATCCAAAACAGTTAAAAACGACTTACAACCGTCATTAGTAGCAGTCCTATAAGGACCCCAGACATCCATATGAATTAGCTCAAACGACCTACTAGTAGTAGACGAGCTTAATGGAAATGGTAATCTAACTTGCTTAGCACAAGGGCATACAGTGCATTTATTTAAGGACTCTACTATATTGGACTTACTAGCTGAAACTATTTTAGTGAGAGTACTAGCAGACACATGACCCATTCTTTTGTGCCACAGACCAATATCTTCTGTAGTAGTTGCATTCACAGTTGTTAGTCCACATTTAGCTGCTTGAGCTTTAGGGATACTGAGTCCTGCTATGTAGTAAAGACCTCCCACTTCTTTACCAATCTCCTTCACCTTCCCAGTGAAGAGATCCTGAAAAATACAGAAATCGGGATAAAATTTCACAGAACAATTTAGTTGTCTCGTAATCTTGGATACTGACAATAGGCTAAACTTAAATTGAGGAATATAAAACACATTATGAATACTATTGCTAGATGATAGCCTGCTGGAACCTATACGAGATACTTTGGTTTGTTCACCATTTGGTAAGACAACATTTTTTGAATTTGTAGGCAGTGCAAGTGTGTTAGCGTCCAGCATAGACAAATTAGAAGTCATATGATTTGTAGCCCCTGAGTCAATAATCCAATTAGGTGGACTATTTGTGACTAGCAAAGCACTACAAGTACCAGTCATATTTGCTGAGTGTGTAGTATTCATGTGGCTTTGTTCCTGCATCTGATTCACCTGATTCTTGTCTAGCATATGGCATATGTTCTCATATTGAGACTGCGTAAACCTAGGTCCATCATCCACCCTGTATTGTCCTGGAAAGGGAACTTCCTGTTGTGAATTTGCAACAACATTAGGAGCAGAAGCTGTAGCTGGACCATAATAGTTGTGCATTTGGTTCTGAAGTGGAAACTGAGTTGATTGATGCCAGTCCTGAACTACAGCATTGTGTGCTGCATTATAAGCAGAAGGACCTCATCCTCTTTTGTATTTAAACTTGTTAGTGGACTGATCTTGTCTACCTTCATACTTCTCATGTTGACCAAATTTAGGATGATCTGGTGGATACCCTATCAATTTATAGCAATCCACCTTGTAATGACCTTTGAGCTTGCAATGATCACAGAAGGCATTGGGGTTGTAATTTGGATTGTACTTTCTTTTAGGCCTTGAACTTCCAGCTCTAGAGTACATAGCTAATGCATCTAACTCACCCATACCTCGACTTTTATTAGTCATTGCACTTAAGAGACCAGTTGAGTTAGATGTAACAGACATTGTTCTTTGATTTTCATCACTCATTACCATAGCATAGGCCTGATTTACACTCGGAACAGGACTAAGTAACAGAATGTGACTTCTAACTTGAGCATACGACTCATTTAGTCCCATTAGGAACTGATATAATTTTTGCCTTTGAAGATATATGACAAAGTCTTTGGATTTTTCACAGTTACAACTTGGAGCAGGGATCATAGAACTAAATTCATCCCACAAATCCTTCATCTTTGTGTAGTACTCAGACACCGACTGAGCACCTTGAGTGCAAGTATCAATCTCCTTGTGATGTTGAATGCCCTAGAACCATCAACCTTTTCAAATCTTTCTTTCAAATCTTCCCATACAGCCTGTGCATTAGTGGCATAGACCACACCTCCAATCAAACTATTAGCCACAGAATTCATTAACCATGACAGTACTATAGCATTCACACGTTCCCATTAATGCCCTAAACTCTCAGGAAATTACTCCTTCTTCCAAGTACCATCAACCAGTCCTAACTTATTCCTTCCAAGTAATGCAATCCTCATAGACCTACTCCACACTATATAGTTTTCATTGCCTTTCAACTGAAATGAGATAATAGACGCTACACTTACATCTGTGGACTGTAGATACAGTGGATGATTATAGTCAATTGTAGTGTTAACTCCAGTAGTAGCACTAGTATTTCCAGTTACTTCATTAATCATTTTTTTCTTGGCTACGCAGACTAAGAGATTTTCAACAACTTTTTTCACACAATTTTTTTTTAACTGTTCTTCTCAAGATACACACACAACTTTAGATGCCTGGACTTATCACAAACACCTTACAAACAAAATTTTTCAAAGTTGTTCTTCGATGCAACTAAATTTAGCAATTGCTTATAGAAGAGTATAATCTGAAGGCAATATTGAGCAATTGAATTTAACAATCACTTCAACTATACAGTTAACTTCTATGATTTGTTAATTGAAACTCATCTGGATTTCTATGTAGACATTGTAGCAGATTGGAATTTCAGAATCTCCTCTCAATTTGAATTCCTCGATTGCCTCTCAATTCTTCAATTGAATCCCTCGATTGGATGCCGATCGCCATAGCTCTGATACCATGAAGTGAGTAACTGTTAAGCTCAAGATCCTCAAGAATGAGGTGAAGTATGAGAAACATACAGGAGGAAGAGAGAAAGATGAAAATATCTCATTGAACTAAAGAGTATAGAGAGAAGAAAAGTTAGTAGCCGTTAGGAGTACATTGAAGATATTTATAGTTAACTAATCTAACTACCTAATTACATGGGCCATCTTAGTTTATTGGGCTACAGTTTACATTGGGCCTTATGCTTTCATTCTATCCAACAACATTGAATGTACGAGCATGCAAGGGGAAAACTGAAACATAGATAAATGAACTGACAATATAGGAAGACATACTCACCTCAACTCAACTCAACTCCAATATGAAAAAATAATATTAAGAGATGCAATGTTTAATACATTATAAAATAGGAGATATAAACTCAATGATGTATAAAAATACAACAAAATACTTTTTACTCTTATTTGGGAGATTATCTAACCGACAACCATGACTATAAGCTATGTGATGATACAACGTCTCGCCCACCACTGCCAGAACTGTCCTATACCTTGCCGGGGTATAGAACACTTCAACTAACTGGATCTACTAAGCTCTGCCCGAAGGCACTTAGAATTCATCTAAAAATATGATCTTATACCCATGTTGGCATACTCATTGGTGCTTATCTTATAATTGAAAGCAAGGCAAGGCAAAGTTGAATTTGTAATCATCCAGAAATTATTTCCACAAAGAAAAAGGGACTTACTATTTAGGATGATCAATTCCGAAATGGCAAAAATAAAATAAAATCATAATATAGAAGTCATCAAAATTTTCTCCAAATTCTTATTCTCTAATGAGCAAATGACAGTTAATACTTGATACTTGATAGCCTAAATAAATGCTTACTTTTCAAAGTGACTTAAAAGAGTTGTGCACAATTTAAACTCTATATCGCCAAATTATTTTTTTAGCTCTTTTTTCAAAGTGAATTTGTGAGTAAATGCACACTTATTAGAAAAACATTTAAGAAAATAATTTAAGTCATATTTCTCACTATTGCTCTTTGTGAAATCATAAATATAACTTTGTAAGTAATGCAATTTAAGCCTAATCTTGAAGTTAAGCTTACTTCCTATAGTCTGATGGGATTAATACATGTAAGTTTACTTATTTTCTCTACAACTAGCTAGAACAACATTTCATGACAATAGATAGATATATCACTTTCTTAAATTTGCTACCTTCTCCTTAAAAGAAAAAAGAAGTTTACTTATTTTCTCTACAACTAGCTAGAACAACATTTCATGACAATAGATAGATATATCACTTTCTTAAATTTGCTACCTTCTCCTTAAAAGAAAAAAGAAGTTTACTTATTTTCTCTACAACTAGCTAGAACAACATTTCATGACAATAGATAGATATATCACTTTCTTAAATTTGCTACCTTCTCCTTAAAAGAAAAAAGAAGTTTACTTATTTTCTCTACAACTAGCTAGAACAACATTTCATGACAATAGATAAATAGATCATTTTCTTAAATATGCAACCTTGGTCCTTAAAAGAACAAAGAAGTTTACTTATTTTCTCTACAACTAGCTAGAACAACATTTCATGACAATAGATAAATAGATCATTTTCTTAAATATGCAACCTTGGTCCTTAAAAGAACAAAGAAGTTTACTTATTTTCTCTACAACTAGCTAGAACAACATTTCATGACAATAGATAGATATATCACTTTCTTAAATTTGCTACCTTCTCCTTAAAAGAAAAAAGAAGTTTACTTATTTTCTCTACAACTAGCTTGAACAACATTTCATGACAATAGATAGATAGATCACTTTCTTAAATTTTCTACCTTTCTCCTTAAAAGAACAAAGAAGTTAACTTATTTTCTCTACAACTAGCTTGAACAACATTTCATGACAATAGATAGATAGATCACTTTCTTAAATTTTCTACCTTTCTCCTTAAAAGAACAAAGAAGTTAACTTATTTTCTCTACAACTAGCTTGAACAACATTTCATGACAATAGATAGATAGATCACTTTCTTCAAAAGAAGAAAGGGCCTAAAATGCCTCTCAACTATTTCAATTGATATAAAATTATCTTCCATCCCCCCCCCCCCCCCCCTTTCCCTCCCAAATACACTTGACATCATCTTTTAGCTAAAAATTATCCTTATATCTAACAATCACAGTCATAAGGCGGATGGAGGATAAATTTATACCAAATCTCATATATACCCCTACTGTTATACAAATAACTCACATATATCATTTTCTCTAACGGAAGTGAATAAATTAATTTTAATTTAATTTTTTAATTATTACTTTTTTTGAAAAAAATATAATCCATATGAGGTATATTTTATTCTCCTCACACATATATTTTTTTACTTTTTTGTTTCAACTATTAATTTAAATTTATAATTTAAGGAAAAAAATAAGAAACTCGAATAATGATAATCAAAGAAGTAAAAACTAATTTTTGTATGATAATCAAAGTAGATTTAAAATCCGTAATATTATCTCTTAAATATATATGTGGGGTGATTTTTCCTTTTGAAATTAGAATATTTACCGTTTGTGGACTAGTTTATTTGGAAAAACTAAGCAAATACCCCATAAAAGCAAAATAATTACAAACATATACCCCTTTACATTCATATCCCACCAAATAATTACACTATATACCTCCAACTATTTTCGCTTAACTATACTACATAAGTATCATATACTGTATTGGTATCATTAAGGCTGGTAATTTCGCTTATACTGATTTAGAAATTCGTAATATTATCTCTTAAATATATATGTGGAGTGATTTTTCCTTTTGAAATTAGAATATTTACCGTTTGTGGGCTAGTAAAATTTATTTAGAAAAATTAAGCAAATAACCCCATAAAAGCAAAATAATTATAAACATATATACCCCTTTACATTCATATCTCAGTAGATAATTACACTATATACCTCCAACTAATTTCGCTTAACTATACTAAATAAGTATCATATACTGTATTGGTATCATTAAGGCTGATAATTTAGCTTAACTGATACTAAATCATATATATACTGTATTGATATCAATAAAGTTTCTTGTTCAAAAATTACTCATTAGTCAAATATATATATATATATATATATATACTTTTCTTCTTCTCTTCTTCTCTTCTTATATAGAAGAGTACTGACTAGAGGTTTATAAAGACTTGCAAGCTTCTTGCCTGTTGGACTCAAAAGTCCACGTACGGTAAACTACCCTTAGGTACTGTTATGGCCTTTAAATCAACTTATAGTTACTTGTGGCACATACAATTGTAATGGTTGGATTTTTGTGCTTGTGGCATTATTATTAAATTTATCGTCTTTCCTTTCTACTTGAATTTGTCTGCTCTAATTCAACTGCTTTTCTAGACATGCACTGCGTTGTCGAATCATTCATGACTATTAGTGACATGCTAAAGTTGCAACATTGATTGAAACTTCAGGAAACAGTAAAAGGTTGAAGGTTATTCCAATGATAAGTTATTTTAACTTGTTGGAGTCTCACACAATGAAGAAGCAGGGAACCATTCTTTCACTAACCCATTGATCGCTTAACACATATGGTATATGAAACATGTGTTACAATGTTTTAACCTTATACTGCGCATGTGTCTCATTCTTTTGATTATTCAACACAGTATAGATCATGGCTTAAACACCTCTAGATGTTTAATCCAAGTTTTATTCTTTAATGATCCTCAATATCATCTTCTTAGAGAGACTCTTGTTTAATTTGGCTTATAAATAAGTCATAACATGATAGTGAAAATCATCTTTTCACATTCTCCGACGTAAGAGGCGATTGCTCGTGCGAGAGAGTCAATCTCGTGACTTGTTTCACACTCTTTATTTTTAAAATTATCATCACATGCATATGAGATATGGATATAAATTCAAAATAGTCATATATTGATGAGAATTTTGATTCTAGTGAGAAAGACAAAGAGAATGAATTCTGCCGTTAAATTTTCCATTTGAAGGATTTGAAATTTGTTAACAACCTCTGTCTACTTTAATGGATGAGTACCGTCAATATCTTATTTGATATTTATTTTCAAGATAGATAAATAGTAATGTATTATGTCATTTTCTTGATCACGATTTTCACCTTCAAATTAATACAACATGTACCTGATACAATCTAGTTGATACTCTTTGCTACATGCATCAGATACACATTATTAGTTTGATATGTTTCATACAAATCAGTACCCATTCGTATATACTGACACATTTATACAAAAAAAAGTACATCGCATGACCACTTGATAATGTACAGATAAAAAACAAATACGTTGCGTGCAATAACATTTACTATTAATGTATCATGACTTATATATCCATATCAAAAACACAAATCTAAAAAACATTTAGCCATGATACTTTTATAAAAAAAAAAACCAGGTAGCATTACAACAAGTCAACAACTAATAAATCACTAAATTTTTTAGAAGTGACAATGTATCATGACTTATGTATCAAAAAATTTAAAAAAATCTAATACACGTCACAAAACAACTAATTCCATACCTTTTTTTTATCATATATCTTTATCCTGAAATTGAAGTT